TTTTTAATATTTTTTATGTAATAGAAGATAAATTTATCTTATATACTAATAAAAATATGTGTGATCTATATTTTATTTGTATCGTTCTTCTATTTATATGAATTCATGTGAATTTTATATATGTATAAGAGAGATCAGAATTATTTTTTAAGGTAGGATATTCTTATTATTTCATTTTTCACTACTAATCTACTACAACTTTTCAGCGGTTGGATCTCATTTAACTGACAATTTCTTAAAAGTTTTTCAAAAGAGAAAAATGAAAAATAACTTTTAAAATATTCTTTCATAATACATAATTATATTAGGATGGTAATATATTGGTAATGAAAAAATTGGGTAGGAAGAATAATTTTTTTTATTTTTTGTTTTTACTGTGAAGTGTGATGAACTATAACCTATAAAATACAGACACGCACTTTTTTGTGAATTGTGCATGTCGGACACGTGTCCGACACGGATACGTTCGTACACGCGGTTAATATTTTGAGACACGTGGTCAACTCTTCGACAAGTTCCGACACGTTTTTTCGACACGCGGTCAATTTTTTCGGACACGTGGTCAACAATTGGACACGCTGGGACACCTTTTTTTTGTCTTAATTTTATTTTATTAACTAAAATAAAATCATTTATAAATCAATTTTTTTCTGTTATGAAATTTGAATTGAAAAATTAACAAAGTACGAAAAATAATTTTTTTTTATATTTATGTTATGAAATTTTAATATTTGATTGATTATATGACTTATTATGGACTGTTATATCTATTAAATATAAAATATATTATATATTGAAAATATTATTTAATTTCAAAACGTGTCTCAATGTATCAAAATATACTATTTTTTAAAATTAACGTGGTAACGTATCGTATCTCGTGTGTTCTCCGTGCATCATAAACTATAACTATAAGGCGGAAAGTCAGGGTTAGGTAGTGTTCGTTGGCCGCTAAAGTCTCTGGGGCGACGCGTTTGAACACATGTATAAAATGACAATCGTGTCCTATAAGACTTGTAGGAAGCAACCATGTTTTTAACTTGTTTGGCAATAAGTGAGTGCATAATAATGAAAGTGTTTTATGTCCGCTTCAACTTGTTTAACATGTCTGCTTTTTAGCTTTCTTTTTCTGTCCTTTTTCTATTTTTGTTGGGGCTATGCCCATGCTCGTACAAAAATAAAATAAAAAATATGGCTGTGACTGTGACTCCGTGAGGATTATGAAAGTCACTCTGTGCGGGGATGCTATTGACCGGGAATAGATGTTTTCATGTTAAAGTTTTACATAATTTGATTATATAAATTTTTTGTATTTATTTTTTATTAATGATAATTGGATTCTATTTATTTAATATATGTAAAGAAAAAGATAAATATAAAAATTTCATATAACTATATTATGTGAAATTTTAAAATGAGAGAGAGGATTCACTCCCCTAAATGACCTGAAGAAACTAAAATCAATGTGGTTAGGCTGAATTTTAAAAAATAAAATAAATTTTGATATAATTTTATTATAGATTTAAATCATATTTTAGTTGGATTAAATTTAATTTCAAGTCATAAAATCTTGTAAGAAAATTTATCTAAAAAGAGTGATAAATTATACATTTATCTAAATTTTTGAAAAACCGAAATAAAATATCAAATTATGTTTGGACAATTTAAATAATTAAAGAAAAAAAATATGTATTCAGTTATGTCATTTCATACACGGGAAAAAAGTTTTCGATGTTATTTTAGATAAATTTATTTAATGTTCATCGAAACGACGTTGTTTTGGAGTTGAAAAATTAAAAAATTAGAGTGATAAAGACTAGTATAACCTTGAAATAAACTAAAATTATAAAAATACCATGATTTTTGTCTCAAAACGACGTCATTTTGATAAATATTAGATAAAATTATCAAAAGTAACATCAGACAAAACAAACCTTTCATGTACACCCAAAAATATAAATTTCATTAAAAAGAAAAAGAAAAAGCAAAGATAAAATAACACAACTATGTATGCTTTTCCCATAATTAAAAGCATAAAAGCGCAATTATCTAACTACCCCGACACGGTTCACGATTCCACTTGCATATTCCCGCGCGTCCAGCCAATTGGAGTAGTGCTCTTCGACGACTTGAAGGATATGATTATAACGAGGGTAAAGTATCTCAGACACTGATCAATGTGTCACGCTTTGACAAACAAATTATCAGAATGTCACGCGAACAGTAAAAATTTTCAAATTGTCATGCGGGATAATTCGCTACTTAGTGTAGCGAATTACGTTTGAAAATAATTCGCTACACTGTGCAGCGAATTATGCCAGGTCAGATTGCTCCGTCAGTAAGAATGCCATGTGTCATCCCAGGAGTAATTCGCTGGGGTATATAGCGAATTACAGTGAGCAGGAGTCATTCATGGCAGTCTCTTGTCGGACACATGTCACAACTCCTGTAATTCGCTGTACCTTGCAGCGAATTATGTGTCAGTTTGCCAGTCCTGTCCAGTCATTGTCAGGACACGTGTCAATACCCCAATAATTCGTTGTACTGCCTAGCGAATTATGTACTAATTTTGCCATGACTCATAGCGAAATAGGGACCACTCTGATTGATAATGGACAGGTGTCAGCCCCCTAGTAATTCGCTAGGGGGCATAGCGAATTATGTTGCATAAAGTACAACCTCATGTAGCGAACTTTGTTACTATAAATCAGCTCAATTCCATTTCAGGAACGGACTCTGAGTGCGAAAATTTGCCATTTATATACAAACATTACTACTTTTGTGTTATCTTTTGTGAATGTTAGTTTATTTTCTACTTTGGTAAGATGAGTGAGGGTAGGAATGATGTAATCGCCACAGTTTATTATAATGGGAGAAGATATTTGGGGCCAAACGGGCAAGTTTTTGAAGGTGATGCAAAAATGTTTCGCATGAGCCCAACATGCAATCTTCACGAGCTTAAGAAGATAATCTACAAGAAGTTGAGATTACAACGTGGTCAAACTCTTGCTCGATTGACCGCTAGGTGTGCCTCTGGTAACCACGTGCAATGGGTTGGCGTCAAAATTGTTGAAGATGACGATGTAACATTAGTAGTAGATGCAAGCACTTCAGAACACGGCGAGTCAAGATTTATTAAATTTTATGCAGAAGTCAACTATGGTGGACAATCAAGCAGTCAACTTTCTCCACCATCCACTGACATCATCGACATAAACATGGTTCCAGTGGTTAATCCGGAAGATGAGGACGCGTCCCCCGCGCTTGCACCACAAACTCAACAACTGTTTGATGAAAGCTTGCCGGTCCACGACATGTACGATCCATCATGGCGTACCGATAGTTCGGAGGAAGAGGTTGATGAAGGTCTTGTTCCGGACAGTGAGTCCTCGGATACAGATGTCGATGGTGATTTTGATTGTTGTCCGTCCACTGCAGTTGGTCTACCAATTCCGTCGCCTGGCATTGTAGGAATGCAAGACCCTCCAGTTGCAGGTATGTAGAATCGATTAATAACCGTGTTAGTGGTGTATGTTATGTCATATAAACAAATTATATGATTTTGGGGTTTTGGATATGTTATTGAACAGGAAATGATAATGTACCATTTTGGGATGGAATCAGCCATTTCACGAATGTTAATTGAGAATATCCAGATCAAGAATTAGAAGATATGCGTGGAGCACAAATACCTAACTGGTAGAGAATGAACCTTAAATAATACTTTAAATATAAAACTAAACTAACTTAACTTTATATGAAAGAGAATGAACCTTAAATAATACTTTAACTAACCTAATGTTTGAAATATCTACATTAACTAACCTAATGTTTAAAATATCTACACTAACTAACATTAAACATTAAATAATGCATTAAATAATACATTAAATAAAATGAATTCAACCAAAACTAACCCAAATAACTACATTAACTAACCTAATGTTTCAAAAATCTATACTAACTACTATTAAACATTAAATAATGCATTAAATAATAAATTAAATACAATATTGAAACAACATAAACTAATCAAACAAAAACATTAACCCAAATAACTACATTAACTACTACTAAACATTAAATAATAACTTAAATAAAATTTTAAAACAAAAACAACTAAAGAAAAAATAAAACTAACCTTTAGAGAGAGAGACCACACTTTGAGAGAGAAGGGTGAGGATGGAGAGGTGGGGAAGGGGTGGGGGGCAGAGGGGATTTATAGAAATTTTTTGAGGGAAGTTCGCTGGGGTGTCTAGCGAATTTGTGTATGATTGACACGTGTCCAGCATGCTGCTGTGCATCAGGTTTCCGTTTAGAGTAATTCGCTACATACCCTAGCGAATTACTCCTGAGATGACACGTGGCAGTGATGCTGACGGGGCAACTTGACCTGACATAATTCGCTGCACAGTGTAGCGAATTATTTGCAAACGTAATTCGCGTAGCATTTTGGTAATTTGTTTGCCAAAGCGTGGCACATTAGTCACTGTCCCAGAGTATCTCTTATCTTGAAAGACGTGAAGTTATCTGATTTTAAGAAAGAGAAAGAGATAAATAAAAGAGGAGAGAGAATTGACAAAAAATAAAATAAAAGTGTGGATCACACTTCTTTGTAAGAATGAAATGATATAAGTTATGTCATTTAAAAGGATAAACACATTTTCCTTATATTAAACATGTTATATATACATATGGTTGATTCATCATATTATTCTTGTTTTAATTTAGAGGGACAGTAGTGATATATAATTTAAAAATGAGATAAAATAATAAATTAATTTAGAAAAGAGGGCATCAACGTAGAAATATCCACTTTTGACAATGACAAACTAATAACGCACATTAAGCACCAAACCCAATTATTAATTATACTTTGACAGCTTAATATTAATTAGTATATAGCCCTCTCTCAAGTCTCAACACAAAACCGCACCTTCCATTCCACCCCATAGCCCCATCCTCTCTGTTTCCTTCAATTTATTCTATCTGTACCTTCAATGGCTTCTTCCATTTCCACCGACAAAGAGATAGAAAAAGAGCTTCTTCCCCTTATCAGAGTCTACAAGGATGGCACCGTGGAACGTCTCCTAGGCTCTCCAATTGTGCCACCTTCCCCTCAAGACCCTGAAACTGGGGTCTCATCCAAAGACATTATTATCTCAGATAACCCTTACCTCTCTGCTCGCGTTTTCCTTCCAAAATCCGATCAAAATCAGAGCCAGAAACTTCCCATCTTTGTCTACTTTCACGGTGGTGGTTTTTGCGTTGAATCAGCCTTCTCTTTATACTGTCACCGCTACCTTAACATCTTAGTTTCTCAAGCAAATATAATAGCTGTGTCTGTGGATTATAGACTCCTTCCACACCACCCTCTTCCAGCAGCTTATGAAGATGGTTGGAGTACTCTCCAATGGGTTGCTTCCCATTCAACCAATAACCCCACAAACACTGAGCCATGGTTACTCAACCATGGTGATTTCGACAAACTCTATATTGGGGGTGACACCAACGGTGCAAACCTTGCACATAACTTAGCTATGCGTGCTGGCACTGAAACCTTGCCTGGGAATATTAAGATATTGGGTGCGTTACTCTGCAACCCATTTTTCTGGGGTTCGAAGCCAATTGGATCTGAACCTGTTGAGGAGCACCCTACGAGTTTGGCCATTAAAGTTTGGAACTTCGTATACCCAGATGCACCAGGTGGAATCGATAACCCTATGGTCAACCCTTGTGGTCCTGAAGCCCCTGGCTTGGCTACACTTGGTTGTTCTGAGATTCTGGTTTGTATTACTGGGAAGGATGAGTTTAGAGACAGAGATATTTTGTACTACGAGTCTGTGAAGAAAAGTGGATGGCAAGGTGAAGTGGAACTGTTTGATGCTGGAGATGAGCTACATGGTTTCCAGATCTTCAATCCTGAAACTGATAAAGCTAGAGTCATGATCAAACGCTTGGCTTCTTTTCTCTCATGAGTTAGGATTGATTTTCATCTGTTGTAATAATTAATTCATGGATTAGGATTGATTTTCATCTGTTGGAATAATTACATGAAAGATATTGGACACAATATTTCAGTTTCGAAAAACAAAAATGTTGTACTCTCTAGTTTGAGATTTTAGTTATTGCTACATCATTTACTCTTTTATTGTTTGGGAAAAATGTGTATTCTTTTACACTTATATTCTTTTAGGAGAGATAAAGAAAGTAATTTGGAGAAGAGAGAATGCAGAAAAAAATTTATAATTTAAAATTTGAAAAAACATACTTCATTTATCTAAAAGGACCATTCTTTTGAAGGACAAACAATAAACCCTTATTATTTTTTGTCTTGTGTGCTTATTATTGAAGGAAACCCGAATACCCCCCTCTGCTTTCTCTCTCTTGCTCTAAGTTGTTTTAGGTTAGCAGCTTGGATCCCCAAATGTCTTTTTCTAGTTACAATTCCAGCCCAAATTTGTGATAGCATCAAGAGTTGGTACAGACATGTTTGACTTCTAATTTGGGATAGAAATTACATGTGGTCATTTATTCCATATCAAATTTATCAAAAGTACTTCATACTCATAAAATAAAATTGTATTAAATATAAGGTACTCTGAATGTGACTAAGAGTCTTTCTACTTTGAATCCGACAAAAAAAAAAAAAAAATCTTTCTACTTTGCGTAGAATTTTGTTACCTTTTGTTATATTTGAAAAATAAAAACTAGCATCAGTAAGGTTAGCCTAGTGGTGTTGGGTGTGTATTAAGTTTGCAGTTTGATTTCTATGTAATATAAAAAAGAAAAAGAGAAAAAAAAGCTGGAATTTGATATTGAATTTTCAGTTAAAATGGTTTTATTTATAATTACAAAAATGTTATTTTATTTCATATTTTTGCAGTGTTATAAAGAAGATGATAAAAATTACCTTTGTATCATTTTTTTTTTTACAAAATTTTAAAACAGAATTAAAATAATATTTTTATAATGAGATAGATGTTTGTCCTTTTAAAGAATATATAATTGTATCATTTTAAGTGAGAGAAAAATACACAATAAAAAATATGGGAAGAGAAAGTAAAAGATTTTTTTTAAGGGAAAAATATTTATCCTTTTAAAGGACACAACTTATATCCTTTCACTCTCACAAAGAAGTAAGACCACACTTTTATTTTTTTTTTGTCAACTTTCTCTCCTTCTTTATCTATCTCTTTCTCTCTCTTAAAATGACACAATTTTATATCTTTTAAAATGACACACACTTTACCCTTTTTTTTAATTTAAATTTTAAATAAAAAATATTAATTTTAACTAAAATAAATATTCTTTTAAAAGAATAAATATTTTTTTATTTGTAATTGGGGAATAACTAAAAATACATCAAAATATTATATTAAAAAAGAAAAAAAAAAGAAAAAAGCGCTAAAACACTTCGTGTAAAGTAAACTTGGGTAGGAGTAAGAGTTCACCGAATCTTAGTAATCATCTTCAAATCTTATTAGAGTTGCATCATTTTAAGATTTTCCCTCCACAGAGACATTCTCTCACACAGAACAATCGTTTAAATTCAAGAATCAAGATTGTGCTAACTGCACAGTGCCCATTCTCAGTTTCAGATCAAGATCAAGATCAAGAGGTACACTTTTCTTCTTTCTAGGGTTTCCCTTGTACTTTATTTCTGTTTCAATTCTTCTCTATTTCATTTTATGGTTTCCACGGTTCATTGCGCTTCCGACCCTATCTTCTCCCCTTTCAAAGTTCAAATTTTTCTGAATCCCTTTATATCTCATTTCAAGTTTGTAGCTTTGCACTGTCTCAGATCTGTTGCATTTTTCGCTTAAGCTAAGATTTTTGCGATAGATTTGTGGGTTTTCACCGAGGAAACAATCCCGAATTTTCTTGACTTGTTGGCACCCTTGCTTTTATAAACTTATTTTCTTTTTTAATGTCATCTAAAATGGAAATGCGTCTTTCCCCGTGCTTCGTGTGACTGAATCGATGCTATTTTATCAGTATATCTGGGTCTGAAGTTTGTTCTTGTGTTTGTGGGTTTACCTTGGTCCTATATATTCCATGACATTGTATTAGGAATGAATATATATACGCTGTTGGGACAAATTTGTTATTTTACTTTAGACTGAAATGTAGGAGTGCGAGTGACATTGGTTGATTGTACTGCACATTAGAGCGGATAATTAACTTCAGAGCAAGTATGTATATATGATTGTCTTTGCATTTTTAGGAAAGTAAAGGGAAAGTGGATATATTTTGGAAAAAAAAACAAAGATAAAAAGAGAATGGAGATGCCAACAGATAGATCTTTAGCCTGTATTGGGTCATTCATTGGTAGATATTTTGAAAGATAGGTTTATTGACATTAAATAATCTCGTATGCTTTTTCTAGTTTTGATAGCAATTTTAACAAAATCTTCTTGTAATACCAATTTCTGTACTTGGTCATGTTATTCATAAATTAGTGGGATAAGGCTTGGTTGTTGATGATGTCTTTCATAATCTAATCATTGAATAGAAGTGTTTAAGGCTTATTTGCATGGTGAGAACTTTTGACAAGCTCCATGTAGATCTTATTCTGGTTCTTCATAAATAGTAGAATCGGAAAGATGACAAAGGTAGATTTATATGAAATAAAATACATGGAAGAAAAGTCAAATTATGTGCTATGCATAATTTTGGGGCAAATACTTAAGTCTTGCCTGCATATTAACTGTTGTTTTTGTTATAGTTGTGCGTTAGAGGCCTGGACATGGGCACCTTCAATTTCCCCCCCCCCCCCCCTCTCTTTCTTCTCTTGTAAAATATCCAACATATTGAAACTACTTACATAAGCACTTCTTGTAGGTTTCATTGCAATGGATGCTATGGAGCTGAACTCGCAACATAGACAATTTTCTATTAAGTTATGGCCTCCAAGTCAGAACACCAGACAGATGCTTGTGGAGCGAATGACCAACAACCTAGTGACTAAATCTATTTTCACGCAGAAGTATGGGACTTTGGATAAGGCAGAGGCGGAAGAGAATGCGAAAGGAATTGAGGATGCAGCTTTTGCCACAGCAAACCTTCATTATGAGAAAGAGCCAGATGGTGACGGAGTTTCTGCAGTCCAGCTTTATGCCAAAGAATGTAGTAAGCTCCTCCTAGAGGTTCTTAAAAGAGGACCTGGTAAAATGGATACCAAAGAAATGGTGACACCTGATAATACCACTGCTCTTCATGAATCTGTTTTTGATATATCTAAAGGCCAACGGGCCTTCATTGAAGCAGATGAGGCTGAGGAACTCTTAAGGCCATTAAAGGAGCCAGGAAATTCTTTCACTAAAATATGCTTTAGCAATAGAAGTTTTGGATTAGGAGCAGCACAAGTTGCTGAGCCCATTCTCGTTTCCCTCAAGAACCAGTTGAAAGTAGTAGATCTATCGGATTTTATTGCTGGAAGATCAGAAGCAGAAGCTCTTGATGTCATGAATATATTTTCAGCGGCTCTAGAGGGTAGTGTGTTGAAATCTTTAAACCTTTCTGAAAATGCTTTAGGTGAGAAAGGTGTTAGAGCATTTGGAGCACTCTTGAAATCTCAAAACAGCTTGGAGGAGCTTTATCTGATGAATGATGGAATCTCAGAGGAAGCTGCTCGAGCAGTTTGTGAGTTGATTCCTTCCACAGAAAAGCTCATAGTTCTTCAATTTCATAATAATATGACTGGAGATGAAGGGGCACTAGCTATAGCTGACATTGTGAAGCGTTCTCCTTCATTAGAGGAATTTCGTTGTTCCTCTACAAGGATAGGTCCTGAAGGTGGAGTTGCCTTGTCTGATGCTCTAGGGAATTGTACCCATCTGAAAAAGCTTGATTTGCGAGACAACATGTTTGGGGTAGAAGGTGGAGTTTCTCTTAGTAAAGCTCTGATCAACCATGCAGGGTTAAGAGAGATATACCTGAGCGAACTAAACTTGGAAGATGATAGCGCAATTGCTATAGTCAGTGCTCTTCAGGAATCAGCACCTCACCTTGAAGTTTTGGAGATGAGTGGAAATGAGATTACTGCTGATGCTGCTCCTGCAATAGCAGCTTGCCTAGCAGCAAAGGAATTTCTTACCAGGTTGAACCTCTCCGAGAATGAACTCAAGGATGAAGGTGCCATCCAGGTAAGCAAGGCAGTTGAAGGTCATGTCCACATGAAGGAAATTGATCTAAGTTCCAACCAAATAACAAGGATTGGAGCTCGACAATTGGCTCTGACTGTTGTGCAAAAGGCTGATTTCAAGTTTCTGAACATTAATGGAAACCACATTTCTGATGAAGGCATTGATGAGGTGAAGGATATATTTAAACAATCTCCTGACTTGCTTGGGCCATTAGATGAAAATGACCCTGATGGAAGAGACGATGATGAAGATTCTGCTGAAGGAAGAGGTAGTGAGGCCGAACTGGAATCCAAAATGAAGAACCTTGAAGTCATTTAAATGAACTGGAGGAGTGATTCTGTTGTGTTAGTTTTTTTAATTTTATTATTATTTCTCTTTAAAGAGTAAACTTCTATTTCGATATAAAATTCGTGTCTGAAAATTTCAAGCCTAAAGATTCATTACGCAGCCTCCAATTTTCTTGTTTATGATCGAAGGTATTTATTAGGAAATAAATGGCTAACCTTTTACGATATGAGTGTGTTCTTCACAAAAGACCGAAATGTCAATAACAGTCTTTCATCATCCCTTCCTACCTTTATTTTCATTGTTTATACAGTTGAACTTAGTTTTGATAATTAGATGATGTAGCTAGCCCTCCAAACCTTCGGCGGTGTGTGGTAAAATATGGAGCAATGCTACGTCCATAATTAATCACCAAAACAGATTTGAAGACAACATTCGCCATCCGACATCTGCACTTCCTTTGGGTAAAAGAGGCATACATAAGTTTGTGTATTCACGCAAAGGAAAATATTTTGGTGAAAGACGCCCCTCTTGTCCATGGGATTCGTGTATTCGTCGTATACAGGAAACAAAATCCTGTGTAAGCAGACTGAATTTTGCGTCCTTTTACCCAATCGCGTTAATTTTACTAATAATTTTTCTGTCAGTTTTTTGTTTCGTTTAGGTAATTTCGTTGAGAAGTGTTCGCCCACAACTGTTATCCACGGAAATCCATTGCTTAACCATCCAGACGGAAGCATGGACACGAACCAGGGAAATATGCTTCATCAATTGATTGATTTTACATTAATGCATATAAACATGTTACAACAGCCCGAAGGAATTTGCTGGTATCTTCATTTGTTGATCGAGTGCAATCTACCGGTAACTCGTTCGTGACAAACTCACAGAATTAAAAGCAGAATTACAGTTCAAATGTTGGGAAAGTTTCTGGTGTCCATGACTAAACTGAAACTCCGATCAGTTCAAGTTCTGCCCTCTAGTATCAGATAATGAACCCTGGCTAAGATAGCTCGATCTCTTCTTTCTGTGAGTATTCCAGGAAAACACATGCTCGTTCAAACCACTTACTCTGACATCCTCGTTTTCGTGTTTCTGGGAATTTATTTCTTCAGGCTTGAGTCTCTTAGAGGCAGGGGTCACATTGAAAGTATCTTCACTTGATCCCTCATTGGCCATGGGGACACTTTCACTCCTTAACTCTAATACCCTTTCTTCTGCCCCCATGTCATCACTGGCTTGTGCATGATTGTCTACAGGGAGGTGGTCTCTTCTTTTCCCTTTAATTGAAAGCTTAGATATGTCTTGTCCGTTCTCCATAGCCTTCATCCATTGTAGATCACTTAATGTATCTGCATATACCACTTCTTTTCTTTTCCGCTTTCCAGTAACACTACCGCTGTCAAAAGCTTTGACCTTATCATCCTTATTTAGTGGAGAGTATACCCAATCTGGCAGTTCATGCTCTTCCAAGAGTCGAGATCTGTAATTCTCCTTTTGCCTTCTCTCTTCATCCATTTTCTCGAATAGCCAAAATTCCTCATCAGATCGGGCTGCAAGGCGGTTAATTTCTCTCTCACTTGGCACATCTGTCCCAAGTGAGCTTGAACCTCTACGCATAATCTCCTCCAACATTTCTCTTCTGTCCTGGGCTGTACAAATAAAAATACCACTGATTCAAATGTTAATTTTTAGTAAGTCTTAGAAAGCTCAACACAGGAGACTGACATGGTGGCACAGTTATGTTCTAAAGTCGAATACGACTTCTTTCTAAAGTGTCCATGCTTCATAGATATGAAAGACATTGATTCTTAACTCTTAAATCTCTAAAATAATACTCAAAATCATACGAGAAAGTCATATACAATTAGGACTGCAATATTAATCTTAACCAACTTATTATTCTCTAACATTGCTCAAATCCTCGACCAAAAAAAAAAAAAAAAAAGCTCAAATGAGAAGATAAGATGAAAACGCAGGTAAACATTCCGGATGCATGTTATGCCTGTAAGGATGTAACTTTCATATAGATGTGGCATTGGGTGAGATTCTCACAAACAATGTATAAGAAGAAGATTTAAGTGTATAAAAACTTGCTAGGTTCAGTATAAAAGGACATCAAATCCATGACTATCAGTTTGGATCAAGTATCGACATGTCATGAATAATACTGTGGATACCACTTCTGTATTTTGATAATAGCTGCTGTAGCAGTTTGACGCATGATGCATATTACATAAGAAGAGTTGTTCAGGGAAGGTTATACAAAGAATAAGCAGCAATTTGCAAGCATAATGCTTGCTCTTAAGTCCGAAACAGTGAACACAAGAAACCTCCTCTCCCTCATATTTTACAACCTGCAAAGAAATGCTTTCCTCCACCCAAAAAATAGCTACTGATAGATATTCAAAGGATATAGCAAAAGTATCAAGAACAAACCTGTTGAAGTTGTGTTGAAAAGCCCTGCCTGGATGACTTTGGCATCAATGCCCATCTTTTGTTTAGCGCGCTCTAAAATCACCTCTTCAATAGATCCCACACTAACTAACACAAAAACTCTAACTTCCTTTTTTTGCCCAATGCGATGGGCTCGATCCTCCGCTTGTTGATCCATTTGTGGGTTCCAATCGCTGTCAAAAATTATAACAGTATCTGCTGTTTGCAAGTTCAAACCAAGACCTCCAGCGCGGGTGCTCAAGAGAAACATAAAGTATGGAGAGTCAGGAGCATTGAATTCCCGTAGTAGGGAACCTCTTTCCTCAGTTTTTGTTGAGCCATCAAGCCTAAGAAATTTATAATCATGAAGTCGCAAATAAATTTCAAGAATGTCCATGAGACGAGTCATTTGTGAAAAAAGGAGGACTCTATGACCAGCTCTGCGAAGTTTTGGAAGTAGACGGTCAAGAAGTTCAAACTTCCCTGATGCTCTGACAATCTCCTCACGTTTATACACATCATAGTCTCCAACAAAGAGGTAGGGATGGTTACAACACTTTCTGAGTTGCATTGTCAAGTTCTGTAGACTTTTTGATTTTCCAGAACCTACAGATTGTCCTCTATTTAGTAAAAAGTTTGTAACTCAAGTTCCCAAGAAATCAGATAAGCAGAGAAGGCTGTAAAAATTAACTAATGTTACGGGGGTTAATTTTATTTCTGTTTTTTGTTTTTTTGGGAACAAAACAGGGGTGGAAGTTTTTCTTTTGATAAAAGAAAGACAGAATAACACCAGCACCAGGTGATTGGAAATCACATTTACATAGAACTAACAAAATAATCTTATTTCACCAATTTATTAGAGCTGCAACTAGTAAAAATGGCAAAAAGCTTCCCAAAAGATGGGAAGAGCTGATTCATAAGCATATTGAAAATATAACTATAGTCATGGGAAAAACATTTGTTTTTTATGACGTTAAGAGAAGTGGGTTAGCTGGAAAACAATTGAGATACAAACCATTGTCTAAGCCAACTCTGCCCACGTCTGTGACTTGTTGATAATATACTTTCTGCCAGGCTGACATATCACATTTGAGTATGACCTGAGATTTCCCGGGAAGATATTTTTCCACCTCATCCTTTTTCCTTCTTAATATGAAGGGCCTTATTACCTAAAATAGTGAATGATATATATCAGAAAGAAGTTGACAAGAGCAAGAGAATAAGAAACAAGAAGCGAGAAACCCACTTGATGCAGACGCCGAATGATCAATAACTGTTCTTCATCAGTTAGAGAGACATCAACTCGGTCTGCAAAGGGAGCATTAAACCAGTCCTCAAAATTCTGAACTGAATTGAAAATGTTTGGAAGGAGGAAATTGAGCAGGGACCACAATTCCTGCAAACTGTTCTGAATTGGGGTACCAGTCAACAGAAGTCTTCGTTGAATGTGATAGCTGCACAGGAGTAAAAATTAAATTAGAAAAGTCATCTATATTAGAGTATAGTAGTTTAATCCTAATAAAAATTGTTTTAAACAAACCAAGAAAGTCAACAAGATATATTGCAGAACCTAAGCAGCTCTATAAGAAACATATGACAGTGATGTAGCAGACAAAAAAATAATACTTCTAAGTGAAATTCTGCAAAGAAGATGGTTGACCACATTTGTGTTTTGACTAAGCAATTTATCTAAAGACTTATTGAAGCTGAATAACCATCGCACAGGCCAGTCTCAAAATTCAGGTTTTGGCCAGGGTTGAGGTCAAATTGAGTCCAACCAACCCATGTCCCTTTACAGAGATTAAGATTAAGGAATTAAATGAAATTTCTGTGGACATATAAATCCAAACAAACATGGAAACATGAAATAAAAGTGGGGAGCTAAATTGGCACCACACTGACAGGTAATAAACAGTGTTGTTGACTGCTTTGACAATGCTATGCACAATTTTGAAAGCTATATTCTACTTTGATTTCAGCATATATATATTTTTCTTCAGTCTGGTAGAGTATCAGGCTGCTTAGTATTTTTCTAAAGAAAATAAAAGAACAGCATAACCAAGAATTTAGGGAAGTAAACATATTAAACATCCTCGTAAAACCAATATTGGTGAACATATTAAAAATCACCATAACACCAATACTGAACACGTAGAATCATACCCAGAGTCCAGGGTTCTTGCTAGAGCACACTCATGATTCTTCAAACGATGCCCTTCATCCACAATCAAGTACTTCCAATGAATTTTCTTGAGAAATGCTTTGTCTCGTATTATAAGATCATAGTGCGTTATCAAAACATTAAATTTCCCCTCCCCTGACAACTCTTCCTTCATTGCTTTCCTCTCATCCAGCCGTCCATCATAAAGAATAGTTGTGATGCTGAATCAGAAAGAAAATGCACAAGTGATTTGAAAATGAACAATGTTGTGAAGAAGCCAGAATATTTTACCCTCTCCCCACCAGGAGAACAGGTTAGGAAATAATTTTTCAATGTCTGCCTTGGACATACCTAGGAGCCCATGTTGAGAATTCACTGATCCAATTTGGCAGAACAGCCTTTGGCGCCACAATCAAGTAAGGACCAGTCACACCCTTGTGTTGCAAAAGATACGCTATCAACGAAATGGTTTGTATAGTCTTCCCAAGCCCCATTTCATCGGCTAAAATTCCATTCAAGTTGTTATTAAACAAAGAAAGCATCCACTGGAGCCCTTCTAGCTGGTATGGTCTTAATTCCCCACCTTGAAGACTAGATGGCTGCTCCGTTACCTGTAAAAAAAATTAAGCTGGTTAGAATTCCAGTGTACTACAATTTCTTTGAATTTTGAATGTATGACAGAATTACAATAAAGTAATTCACAGATACCTACCTTTTCTTGAATTGAATGTATGGCAGAATTGTATTGCCGCTGACCTTCAAGTAAATCACTAGTGTCACCATTATGATCAGAATCTATCAACTCCACATCTTCCTCAAGAGGTGATTCCTTAAAAATTTCATTCTTCAAAGCAACTGATTCTGATAATTCAGCTACTGAATCTTCCAAGGGTTCAATACCATCTGATTGTTTTAAGTCCTTTTGACGTTGAACGGCTGCTCCCAAATTTACAAGTAGTTTATTTGTTTCTTCAAGAAGAATAGTTAATCTTTCATTCTTACTCTCTTTCACCATTTGCATGTAAGCTTCCTGATCATCAGCCTTTAAGGCTTGGAATCTCAATTTCTCAGCCCGCGTTGCACGTTGTCTTTGCCTTCCATGCCATGCCTGCAATATTATTTATGAGAATTCATAATCCATATTGAACCAATGAAAAATGATCTTTCAACCGACAAGACTAGCAAAAATGACATCTAAAATCACATAGAAATGTCACAAGAACCAAAAAAGATGCTATCAAAGTCAAACAGTCCTCTTCAACATATTGACATATTTGAACATAAACAAAGTTCTCTTTCTTGTATAACCTAAATTATCGAAAGCACATACACACTCTGATTACATTCTCTGCCAATGCATCTAATTATCATAAGAAGAGTAGTTCACATATATTTCTAATCCCAATAGGCCAAAAAGTTATATCCAAAATTTATATATAAGTTTCCCATATATACATACATGCTTTGCAACAACATGGGGGAAGAAAGAGTGTACCTGGACACCGTCATTCCTCTGTTTTCTCCTCTTCAAAGAAGCTTGAATTTGTAATTGGAACTCACGGACAGCATTCAGTATTTCTGCAAAAAATCTTCTCTTTCTGGTCTCTACGTGATTTTTTGCCTGCACTTCTAATCTTGATAGTCTCTGCATTTGAGGTTCTATTTATGAGAAAAGCAATATAAATAAATTTCATTCCATGTCCATACACTCCTTGCATCAATGAAGCCTCATTATCAACAGATGTAAATTGTAACCGATGATATCCATGCATGATATGAAAAATGAATTTAAACCAACCAGGGGGTTACGACCAGTAAAATAGAAAATCACCTCAGCATCCCGTTTCTTCCTTATTTGATCATCAGCATCCATGGCAAATGGATCTCCAACGCCATAAAGTGGACGACGCAACCGCATCATGCCCCAGTCAAACAGTTGCCTGTCAGGATATGCACATATAACATTGAGCCAGTATTCAGAACTTACGTCAGTCCGAACCTTCCTCTGCAACTCTGCTAGCTGCCAGTAAAAAGGTCCTTGGCAGACAAGGACACAATTGTTGTCATTTATCGGTTCCAGTTGATACAAGCAAATATAGATATAATAATTTCTTCACTGGAAATAATAACAAGTAAGCTACATACATATTATTTCGCCTATCAGAACCTAAGCACTAAAAATGCCAAACTATAAACAATTTGATAGCTAATTAGCCAAAGTTACACAAGATTCACAATACACTAAGCTAGGAAGAAAGATTAAAGAATAAATTTTACATTTAGTCCATAAAGCTCAAGCAGGCACTTGGTCTGTAGGTCTTCTCCCCTGCTTGAAGGCAATCCTGGTTGAAAACAGTAATCAACACTTTTATTAAGGATCACTTCAAATTAATCCATATGAAAACACAGCATACTAGTGAAATAGTGAACCTTCAAGTTGAGCTAAGCGATGCTGAATCTGAGTTTGAAAACGGCTTTCGATTGCTTTGTTTAATGTAGAACTGGAGACACCATTAGGGCGTTGCTTCAACAGTGCATCTTGAAGGTCTGCCAATGTGGAATCCCGTGCATCGGCCTGCATAAGAATAATCTAGAATCAAAGAAAACACACAGAATTAACGAGAGAAAATGAAGCAAAGAGTAATGGTGAAATAGGTAGCGTACGAAGGAGTTGAGGTGGTTAGATCCGTGATAGATAGAAGAAACGGCGTCAAAGAGATCGGAAGGAAGAGGGAGGTTGCGAGAAACGAGGTTGAGGGCACCGATCAGTGTTTGCTCCATCGCTCCCTCTTTCTGCTGGCGGGAACACTCCTCTCCTTTTTATTTCATTACCCAATATTTGAATTCATCTGTGTGAGTGCCAATTGCCAAACAAAAACACACACTCTCTCACTTCCCTTCCGCGATATATAGATAGATAGATATCTTACAACCCTCTCTTCGCCGCTTTCTCTCTCTTAACTCTTCGCTATGCGTAACATAGTTATTACGAATTACGGAACCAATTATTTTATATTCTTTGATGCTTTCTAAATAACATACAACTTATATACAAGTCATAAATTTATAAAGACTATTGAATCTTATCTCACATGATCATATTATGTGAAAATATTTTAATTATTTATGTGCAAATTAATGATGATGAAAAATGAGAAAGAAAAATATTAGAATAAGAAAATGATAAGATTACTACTATTGATTTACTCATGAATAATTATTTAATTAACATATGAGAGGATTTGCTCTCATTCCACTTACTTAATGTTAATTATTTGAAGTTAACAATGATAATTTTTTTATTAAAACACATAGTAATATTATTTAAATTTAAAATATATTATAAAAACAAAGTTAAATATATAAGCTCATGATAATATTGTAATTACATACATTATATTAACCAATCATAATATATTCTTGTATTTTTTAGAAAAAAATCACTATAAATTATCTTAAACTTGATTTTTTTGTAAATAAATATTATAGATTTTTTTTTTATGAATTATCTCTTAAAATATAATTATTTTTATGATACAGTAAACTACAACCGTACATTTTTATTAAATCTCAATTATATTAATTAATTATTAAAAATCATGTTTTTTAATTATTATTATTTTTATGATAGAGTAAACTTGAACCGTACATTTTTATTAAATCTCAACTATTAATTAATATTAAAAAATTATTATTATTTTTATGATAAAGTAAACTTGAACCGTACATTTTTTATTAAATCTCAACTATTAATTAATATTAAAAAAGTATTTTTTTGATTATTATTATTTTTTGAATTTTTTTTTTATATCTCTCTCCCTCCTCCAACAGACCGAATGATAGAGGAATACACGTGCATCGTCTTGTCCTAGATTAAGAAGAGAATTTATTCAGTCACGTATCAGTGGTGTAGCCACATTGAAACCAGAGCAAGTGCTTTGGCACTGGTTGATTTTCAAAATTAGAAATTTTTTTTGATCTTCAATGATGGTAAATGATTTGCTTCCTCTATAGCTGCTGGTTTTGACATTTTTTCATGGTTAGCTGATTTTTGGCACTAACTTTCAAATTTTTCTGGGTCCCGAGTGTCACGTATATCTTGCAAAGTATTGGAAAGGCATTCTTTCTATTAGGTGCTAGCATGCATGGTACTTCTCGATGGAAATACTAAATTATATTAGAAGCATTCTTTATATTAGATTGCGTTTTGCTCTTAGCAGTTGGGAAGTAGTATTAATGTTCATGTTGGACGATCATGTAGGTTAATAAAAGTAGAATCTTGGATCATCTTATTGTCCATCAATGGATATATAATTTAATTTCAACGAGTACCAATTTCTCCAAGCTGCCTAGAGCCCTAGACCATTTACCATCAACTTTTTGAATGTGTTTCTTTGCAACATATAGTCAGCTATTCAAAATGAAGTGCTTGATTTGTGGTTCGTATCCAACAGAGCTTATGATTGAACAAGTTCTCCTCTTTGTTGTGTTTCCCTATGTGATTCGTCACGTTTACTCAAAGAGGAAGAGGATGTAGCAAGATTTTTTTTTTTTTTAATTTACGAAATTCAAATAATCAGAAAGCATTATTTTTTAATAATAAATTAATTAACGGCTAACATTTAACAAAATTTCCCAGTTGAGATTTATTTACCGTTATGAGTTAATAATTATTTAATAGAAAAACCTATTAAAGCAATTACTAGACTTTAAAGAATAATTGAAACAAGCCATTGTATTTGTTTGCAAAAGAAATAAAGTTTAAGATAACATAGTGATAGTATACTTTCTTCAAAATATATATATATATATTGAAATGGTAGTCCCCTGTGTTAAAAGCTTAAAAAAATTATTAGCTAATATTTATTAATGAAACTTAATTCATAATTACTATTCTACAAAAAAAAAAAAAAAACTCAATATAACTTAAAGCAAAGATTAAATTGAGATGATCTAGTTTATATAACTATACGTCTATACCAATAATTTTTTTTTCCAAGAAATGCAAATAAAACGAGAGTGAGGTAATAATTATTGTCAATTAATTTTACTAAAAAATTTACATCTTAAATATAAACAAATCCGTGCTACTCAGAGGCACTATAGTAGAATAGTAATTAGATGAAATATTTTCTGTCCTAACATATATAGTGATTCAATGATATTTTTATGTAAGCTATTAAGAATCAAGGTAACACTTTCGATAAGCGTAGGTGCTGGGTTATAAATTTGTAATCTACATTTTCTACTACCTCTTATAATGATGGAACCGTGCCTTAACTTACATGGGAAAGAGGTTTTTGGCTACATATTCAGCTTTAAAACATAAGTTACACAAAACAACGACGCTATTCTCTATCGAATATTGTATTTTTTATTTTATTTTACCTATTTTACGTTTACTTTTTTCAAAATTTATGAACCCACACAAAGTGTTTTACATTAATAATGGAAATTTCAGGCGTGCTTTGGTGTTTTTCTTTATTTTTTATTTGATTCCATGAGGTGAGCCCGAGAAGAACAGAAAAAGGATCGAGTTCGAGATAACAACAATTATATATTACCATAACTGTAACACTATTCCTAATTCATACTAGGATTCAACTTTACAAGAGAATCTGTTAAAGGTATCAAAATCTAAGAAAATTACAGAGGTATTATCCTTTGTTTTGAGTGTTTTAGCCTCACTCAACAACAAACTAGCAATCTTTTCTGCTGTATTCTCTCTCTCTGTATAATATCTCTCCCTCATCTGTGCAGTTGAGAAAGCAGACTGTCAGAGCAAGTTGGTAGGAAATAGAACAAAATAAACTACAACAAGAACAAAGTTTTTTTTATATATAACCTGGAGCACTAGCTGAATTGCCTTCTTGACGCTGATGACATCCCATAAACCATCACTGAAAATTTTGTAGATGCCAAAGTTATATTCAGCATGGTCAAAAGCAAAACGTGAATTTCAAACAAATAAACTAACAGTTCCTAAAGACTGAACGGTTCAAGAAAAGAAAAAAAACACCAAGTATTTTGCAAAATGAAACCAGTAATTTCACCAACTATCTCTATAGAAGGGACAGGCTCTTCTAAAGTAAGCAAGTAAGGATATGTTCACCCTTCATTTAGTTTAAAGTGCATTGTAATTTTAATCCAGTAAAATTTAAGGGTGAAAACACTAAAGCTTACTTTCGAAACAAACTCACTTTAGAAAGAAATTTTTTCTTCTAGAATGAAATTGAAAGACAGTGAATGATAATTTTCAAAAGATACATTTTGCCATGAAAAATTATATATGTCAGAAGCAAAATCACCTAGCTAGAACAGCAAAAGCGCTGTTTGATTGATCAATGTGCACGACTTCACTTATATAAGGTTCTGAACTGAACCGAGAATCCTGCTGTTTCAGGAATTTATCCCCAAGCATCCTTGCAAGATTTAAACCTGTATCAAGGTCAGAACCAGAATCAGCAATTGCCAAGTCAATATTGTAACTCAGGAACATGAAATTTCCTCTTTCTGAGTGAATAATTTTTTTCCAGTCATACCATATAGACGTGTTTCCCCATCTTTCAATGGTTCACCTGTCCCTTCAATCCTGAGTCTTTCAGAATAATTTGCTATCTTGTGATCTTCTGTCATCTTGATTTGTTTCCCATTGACACTGCCAAAAATAATTAATAGTGAGTTTCATAAAGGCATAAAAAAGTATACTACAAGAATTCCAGTATATTTAAGTGAACATATCCACATGCAGCAATTTAAAGTCAATCGCTACAATTAAAGTCACTCGTAAGAATTGGAGATCTATTATTCTGCTTCTGACAGCTCAGTTGTCATCTTGCCTCCTCATGAAGCATTCAAAATTCAAACAAGCCATCCCAATCATTCCAGTTGGTTAGAATAACAGACCTCATAACACACGCGGAGTCTCCAACATTTGCACATTGTGCAAAGAAATTTTCATCGCCATCAGCCCACACCAAAAGCACTGTTGCTGTACATCCCTGCAAAGAGTTTGTTACTAAATTTTACAAAGGGTTATATTTATCTCACTCATTTAACATGAGATAAATCAAATTCCTACACACACATAACAAAGGTGGATCTCACTTCTATTTTTTTTCTCTCCAATTATTTGTGGGTCCCACTTATAATTTTATTTCACTAACATAAGATAACTCATCTCCAACAACATAAGAAAAACATTTCCCTTTTACAAAACATCAACATCTTTATCCCAAACTAATTGGGGCCGGTGTAGATGAACCAAAATGAAAAGTTCGAAAAGATTGAAAAAAAAACATAAAAATAAAATTTAAAATATATATATATGATATGAGCTTATCGTTTCTCAAGCTGCTTAAGATAACTTTATCTCCGGCCACTAAATCATAACTGTACAAAGATGGATCAATGGTGATAAAGGAAAAGATAAAAAAAAAAGAATCATAATCATTCAAAGGTAAATCAATTAATATAAGGAAATAAATAAACAAAACGACGTAGTTTTGGAATAACCGAAGATAAATATATCTCAAGCAGCTTGAGAAATATATATTTTTTCTCTCTCTCTCTATATATATATAACATTATCCAAAAAAAATAAGCAACAAACAATTAAAAAGGAAAAATAAATTAAAATAAAGTTATATAAAAGGATCAACAAGAATAAGAAAGTAAAAAAAAAAAAAATACATAAATAAATAAATAAGAGAAAAAAGATTGAAAGGAAAAAAGAAATAAAAGAAAAGAAGGAAACAAATTAAAAAGAGAGAGAGAGAGAAGGTAGAGAAAGAAAAAGAGGGAGATGAAGAGAAAAATGACTAAAAAGGGACCATCTAGAATATAGGAAGAAAAACGGGTCAAACCCTCCATCAAGCTAATAGCTTTGCTCCAGTACGTCCTAAGATACTCGTTAGCCAATATATGTCTCACTCCATTAAGTTTTGTTTTACTACCTTTTCCCAAGTAAGTTTTGGTTTACCTCTTCCTCTCTGTGTCAAACTCTTGTTAACAAACTTTAGTTCTTATGGGAGCACCTAGGTGTCTTCTCATTACGTGACCAAACCACCTCAATCTATGTTCTCTCATCTTTTCAGCCATCGGTGCTACTCCTATCTTTTGTCCAATATTTTCGTTTCTTATCTTATCCATCCTCGTATGACCACACACCCACCTTAACATCCTCATCTCTGCTACTCCCATCTTGTGCTCATATTGCTTATGTGTTGGCCAACATTCATTGGAGGCTTTAATGTTGTTCTATAAAAAATTCCTTTTAGCCTAAGAGGAATTTTGCAGTCACCTAAAAACCCTGATGCACTACGTCATTTCATCCACCCTGCTTTGGTTTTATGATTTACATCCTCATCAATCTCTCCACATTTTTGCAAATTGATCCCAGATATCTAAAAGCATCTTTCTTGAGTAACTCTTGTCCAAGTAGATATACGTAATCTTGATCTCCATCTCTTACCAGAAAAAACTTACACTTCATATACTAAGTCTTGCTCCAGCTTAACGTAAATTCTTTAGACTCCAACATGCTTCTCCACAATTCTAGTTTTCTATTAACATCAGCCTTGGTCTCAACAATAAGCACAATATCATCTGCAAAAAGCATACACCATGGCACTTTCTCTTCAATATCTCTTGTTAGTTCATCAATAACTAGGGCAAAGAGGTAAAGACTTAGAGAAGAAACTTAGTGTACACCTACCGTTGTAGGAAAATAACTTGATGTGCCATTATGAACTTTCACACATGTAGTAACACCATCATACATAGAGGTGGCAAAGTGGGCGGCCCGCCACACCCCGCTATCAACCCGCCAAAAAAGAGCCAGCCCGCCCCACCCTAATTTTGAAAGTGGGCTAAAAAACTTGGCACGCCGGTCCAAACATGTTCTACATTGCCCCGCCCCGCTTTTGAAAGTGGGTTGTAAAACTTAGTCCACCCCGCTCGGTTTGGTGGCAGGGGCGCCGACCCGAGCCCGTTTTGCAGGCTCTAATCATGCATATCCTTGATTGTATCTACATACTTTGATGATATTTTTTTCTTCTCAAAAACCCACCATAGAACCTTTCTTGGAACCCTATCGTATGCCTTCTCAAGATCTGTAAACACTAGTAAGTCCTTCTTGTTTTCTAGATATCTTTCCATTAATTGTCGCATTAAGAAAATGGCTTTCATGATAAATCTTTCTAGCATAAACCCAAATTGATTTACAGAGACCTTGGTCTCTCTCCTCAAGTGATGTTCAATAACTCTCTTCCACAACTTCATAGGATGGCTTATAAGCTTAATATTTCTATAGTTAGAACAATTCTAAATATCTCCCTTGTTTTTGTAAATAGACACAAGTAAATTTTTCCTCCATACATTAGGCATCTTATTTATTTGAAGAATCTCATTGAAAAGATTGGTCAACCAATTTATTACCACATCCCCCAGACCTCTCCACACTTCAATAGGGACACCATCATGTCCCAAAGCTTTACTAGTCTTCATCTTCTTTAAAGTCTCCTTAACTTCATGTGCTTTAATTCTGCGCACAAATCTTCTATTCAAATCATCACAAGCGTCCTCCAAATCCACCTCGTTTTTATCGCCATCTCCATTAAAAAGCTTGTTGAAGTAGTTCATTCACCTTTCTTTAACCTTAGTATCTCTTACCAAAAGTTTTTTATTTTCATCCTTGATACATCTAACCTGGATGAGGTCTTTACCTTTCTTATACCTTATTTTTGCAAGTTTATATATACCTTTTGCACCACCCTTGCTCCCAAGATTTTTATATAAATCGACGAAAACCTTGCCTCTAGCTTCTTGTACTGCTTTCTTAGCATTTTTTTTAGCCAATCTAAACTTTTGTAAGTTCTCATCATTAGGAATTTTTATGCAAACATCTAAAGCATTCCTTTTTCTGTTTAATTGCCTCCTGCACCTATCATTCCACCACCACGTTTCCTTTATTTGAAATCCATTCCCTTTGTTTTCTCCTCACACCCTCCTTTCCATATTTTGGATACACATAGTCATCTCATTCCACATTTCATTTGCTCCTCCATCAAACTCCTGAGGTCCTTCATGAAGCATTCTTTCCTTGAACTCTATCTGTTTTTCCTCTTTTAGCTTCCACCATCTATCTTTGAGTTTTGAGCACTCTTATGCATTTTGTGTACTTTTTTTATATTTAGTTTTACAAAACATAAATATAAATAATTTAGAACAGAAAATAAGACAAAAAAATTCATATTTATGGTGTAAGGAAAAGCTAAAAAAGACCAGAGTGGAGCAAATAATACCTCATAATAGTGATTCATACATGCTTCTGTTTGAGAAAATGCATCTCGAAGAATATCTGAAGCATCACGGAGTGATAAAACCCTCTCCCTTTTTAATGAATCCGATAATATACTGGCAATTATCTCAGGAAAAAGTCTGAAAAAATAATTACAAGAAGTTAGTTGTGTTTCGCAGATTAAGAACAGCAATGACCTTGGATGAATAAATAAAATATGCACAGAAGGTTTTTGCAATTCTGAATACTAATTATTAAGGTGGGGGGGGGGGGGGGGGGGGAATTGGTAAATTTTCCCTTTTACTAGAGGTCCCAGTTTTGCTTTGCCAGTAGCAAAATTCTTCACGTTCAAAAATTGCATCATAATATATTTAGTATCAACTCACCATTATTATTAGTGTATAATCAAAATAAAACTAGAGCCCCGGAACATATCAGTCACGTAGTTTGGAAAACCTGAGAGAAAGGACTCAACTATTGCAGAACATATGCAAGTATGAGATGGTGAAACTGACAGTGTTCAACCCAACTTTTTGGGTTCTTATCTACATACTTGGTCTAAAACAACTTTTTCATACAACATAGTGCAGGATAAAATTCTCAGGTTCAATAAGAGTCTTAATGTCCATTACAACCTTAATATTATTGGTGCAGGATAGACAACAATGGAATTCAATTTACAGCAGGTCAGGAATATTGGAATACAAATGACAAATGACAAATGACAAATGACAATCAATGTAAGTAGGTGTTAAGATTATAGAGATTTGGGTACTGAAGGAAGAAAAAGATAGAATAGAGACACTGAATGATATTCTCCTGTGTATAATGATTATCATGAGCCGATTATCCCAAAAACTTATGCGATTAAGTGAAAACTTGTGAATTGATTTATATCTAATATGCCCCTGTAATACGTACAATTACTAACCCCTATTTACACTAGTACTAGAGTCCTAATCCTAATCAAATTGAATAAGGAAATATAATGACATATGGAAATCACTACTATGAGATCATTCAAGATACTTCAAACTATTCTAAAATACAATAATGATGAGATATTTAAAGATTAGTAAGCTTTAGCTTGAGGGGAAATGGCAGAATATCTAGAAATAAAAACCACTCCCCGTTAAACCCCACCCCACACTCGCTAGTCGGGTTTAGCAGGTAGTGGTTTCTATTTCTAGATATTCTGCCATTTCCCCTCAAGCTAAAGCTTACTAATCTTTAAACTTGTCACAAATAAACACATTAACAGAAAATAAACTAAAAATATAATGCAATGGCAGGCGACAACACCTGAGACGGGAGACAGGGCAAAGAGTCTAGGACAAAGACAAGGTCAGACTGCATGAAGGACAAAGATGCGCCCGGTGTAAGTCTCGAGCTCTCGGCCAAAATAAGTCACCTTCCAAACGATCATGGAAGAAAAGTCATCACTGGTATGATCGTTAGTGGACTGCTGGACTGATTGTTAGTAGGAAAATAACTTTATCTTTTTCACTCTCCTCGCTCTCCCCCTCAATGCCATGTTGATGCTGCCATTGGAAAACCAATAATAATACCAAAAAGGGAAGAGAGCAAAGATGAAGATTTAACAAGAACCTAAAGTTGCTGGAAGAAGAACAAACACCCAAAAAAGGGTCAAGAGAAAGCTGGATCAGAAACGGGAAAAAAGAAGCAACAAAGTGAGTTGGACAGGTCAAGAGACTATCAAACCCAAAATGCAGCTAAACACATTCAAAGAGGCACAAACCAAGACGACAGAGGCTGAGTGTCACTAGACTGGTCACAACAAGATGAGTGGAGGAGACCGAAGTCGCAAAGAGGACTTCATGTAATTTCACATGCATGGAAGGACTAAACTGATCAAATTTTGGCGAACGGCACATGGTGGAACGTTGTCAATGAGAAGAAAATGGAGATAATAAAATAGTTACAATAGAGTTTTATATTATGGGGAACTTGACAACTGAATAGTAAGAGGACACTAAGATACCATGTTGAAGTTATAGGGATTTAGATAAGAAAAGAGGCAAAGAGAGAACAAAGAAACTAAATAATATTTTCTTGTGTATAATGATATGATACAAAGACAAAGCACTAACTCCAATATATAGTAGTATTAGAATCCTAATCCTAATCAAATAAGGAAATATAGTGAAATATGTAATCCATTCTTCCGAAATCATCTAAGATACTTTAAGATAGTCTAGTCTAAGATACAATAATGATATTATGAGATATTCTAACAGTGGGCAAGTCAATAAAGTCTACTAAATATATTTCATATTCAATAGTTTGATCATTTACAGTATGAAAACTCACTGAAACAACATAAACCTATATAGAACATATATTTAAGTTACTTAAGGATACAGGAGAAAGTTGAAACAGAGTAACAGACAGGACATATTATAGAACAATCAATAGAAGATGTTCAGATATAACTAATCTTCATATTACTGGATTATGGTTGTTCACCTTCACAACTATCGACAAATACTGTGACAAGATTAAATTATTTCTATTCATCAAGTGCACTGCCCACAGTCACCACAATAGGGCAGAGTACGGAAATCGCATGCATTAAAATGTAAGTTTCACAAAAATGGAAACAACAAATTTGGCCAACCTAAGGCAGAAAATACTAACTTGCTTGCAGATTTGGCAGCCCCATCTCCTCCATGCCCATCACAAATGCCAAAAATTCCAAACTGAAAATTAGGCATAGAGATGGGTTAACTCCCTCGGGAAAGTGAGAAATAAAACAATAGAAGAGACCTTGATTTAAGAAGTGCTATGAATAAATCCAGAACCTGATCCAGCCCGGGTAGAGGCCATTGACAATAGCAAACATCTTCCATAGCAAGCTTTTTTCCCCCTCGACGCAAAGCCATGGGATCTGATGCCATACCAACTCCAAAGGGAATGTGATGCTGATTTTGCGAAGTAATATGAACCTGTCATATATTAAATCGTGTAGCAGATTATATAGGAATGTTTTTAGACAAAAAAGAAAAAAGAAAAAAAAAGGCAAACACAAATTTATAATAGCATAAAAAAATAACCGCGGCAGCATACTCACTCCAATCCATGTATACCATGTCAATGTTAACAATATAGAGCAAAACAGGGAAAAATTATCTGAAAAATTAATACTTACTTGCAAAAGAAACTTTGGTAAAGCATGTATAGAACTTTTTTTTTTCTAACTGAACACAAAATAATCACATTTACCCTTACTTATATAAGACATGTTATTTCCTATCTGGGAGGAGGGAGGAGATTGATCATTGAAAGATTAAAAACTGCAGTCCAGAATCAATCTAGCTAAAATCATATTCGGGTTCAATCTATATCAACAGAAACCAAGGAAGCACGGACACTTGTAAAAACAGGAAGAGTCGGGTCCGACACGCTCCGACACGGCGACACGCTCCGACACGGTGTTGGACACGCGGTTGACTTTTTCCGACACGTTGACTATTCCGACACGCGAATTTGACCGTGTCCGACACGGTCAAATGGCATTTTCGTAATTTTTTTAAATTTTTTTTTTTTTAAAAAGTTAAAATATATTAATAAAGCTTCCACCTGATCATATCAATTTTATCTTTTTGTCTTTTTTCCCCTTAAGTAGATAAGAGATCATCTCAGCATCATTGTTGTCAATTCCCATCACGCTCTTGTTGTATCTCTCTCTAATATGATTTGATCTCTCTATCTGATATTATATCTCTCTCTCATCCCAGTTCTTATTTTTTTTATTAAAGCTTCCATCTTTATAACGTGTTGATGGGTATTAATAATTTAATTTCATTTTTTTGTTAAATTATTAAATATTAAATGAAATATACACTATATAAATTAAAAATATTATTTAATATTAAGACGTGTCCCAACGTGTCGAAATCCATAATTTTTTAAGATTGACGTGTCGGAGTGTCGTGTCGTGTCACGTGTCGCGTGTCGTATCGGTGCTACATAGACAGAAACAGTCGCATTCTGTTTTATATCAATAAAATTGCCCTCCTATACCTGCATGCAAGAAACAGGACAGGAGTGGGCATTCAAATAAATTTCTGAACAATATACTTCCATGTAAAAAATATTCTTGGATTGTAAAGCAAAGCAGAACACTGTAATTATAAATTACTAATTAAAATTTATTCAACCTGTAAAATCTGCAGACAGTCTCTTCACAGCCAAAATCATGCATACATACAAGTATAAGCTTAGCATCTATGATAATCAAAATTCAAAACATAAAACAAGTGGCAGCGGTTTTAACTGAGATTCATTCATAAAACTCACAAGTACTTTTGATGTCGTTCCAAGTGTTATAATATCTCCATTTGCAAGATTCATTGGATCTCCCCAATGCCTACTTCCAGTGTCTGGATGGTTGATTGGGTTGGAATTCAGAAATGTTCCATTTAGGCTACCCATATCGACCAACTCCCATTTCATTTTCTGAAAATTCAATTTCAACAATAATTATTGCACACGATACATCTTAAAAATCCAATTGCATCTCTAAGAGAAGAGAAAGAGTTTACATCTAAATTCCACTTTATCAATGCATGCTTTCCTGAAACTTCTGAATCCTTTATCAATAAATCACTTGGAGAAACTCTTCCCAAGGTTAACGGTAGACGAGAAGAGCTTGTTGACTGTACAGAACAACGAAGTCCACAAGAAGGACCACTGATAACCTCCAGAGTGAGGCAACTTCCTGCACATCTAACAGAAAGATATGTTGACATGTTTGTCACATCGAGGCAATGCAAATACATTGAGCAATAGCAACTCAATGGAAAAAGAGTTAAGAAATTACTTTGATCAATGATATCTCTTTGCACAAAGTCTTGCAGCCTATCATTTTGAAAATTGGGAGTGCCATGCTTTTGAATTTGAGCATAGTGAGCTGGAGGAAGCTTAAGTGTTTGACCAAAATCAACATCTTCAGAAGGATCAGAGATTACATTAATAGCCAAAGTATCACCTTGGGGCATATTAGGTGAAAGCCTTTGCTTATGAATAAGTCCATGGCCATGGGTTAGAGGTGAGCGAAAATGAGATTCATTGGGATAGCAAGCACCCTCAAGATCATAATCTCTAGGCAATTCATTGTTCTGATTAAATGATACATTTACATTATCATCGTCTTCATCTGCGACAAGGGGCCTCTCTAGCTCACCCTAAGATTCGTAAGATATCAATTGAGTTTGAGATATCATAATTCAGATCAGAAGTTTGTGATTAGGGTAAGAAAATGAAATACAAAATTCATTATAGTACCTTGATGGAGGAGCGGGAACGCGAAGAAAATAAGAAGCGCCATGGTTTGAAGAGAAACAAGAGGAAGATGATGATGAGAAGAAGCATAAGGAGAAGAACCACAGTCACAATGGTTTGTAGCATCATAACCACGTCTTCCTTCTCTCTCTTCTCTTCGCAAGAGAGTTAGAGATTGGGTTTGGGTTTGCGATAACCTCGCTTTGAAACGGTCACACACACTCCCTTTTTATTTTATTCTTATTTTTTCCCCCAAATCTTTCATCGAAATTAACTTCTACAACTTATAAATCACAATACACTTGCATTAAATTAAGTTTAAATTTTAATTAAAATTTTAGTAAGTAATGTTTTTAATATAAAATTAAATCAAAATAACTTTTATTTACCCAAAAAAAAATCAAAATAACTTTTTACAATATGTTAAAAGGTTTATCACAATATGCTTAAACACTTATATATTGTTTTTTTATCATATGTAATATTATCTTATCTGTATAATGTTTAAGTTCATAACTATATACGATCATTACTAAAAAAAAAACTTATTTCAATTCATTGGTTTCGCTTAATTATAATCAATTTTTCCATTATCTCTAACCTTGATACATCTAACAATACAGTTGCAGATATAAAGTTAACAATTGCGGAAGTAGCATTGATGTTGATGCTTTTTTATTCACTATGTATTAAAAAAAATTCAACCAAATGTTGATAGCTTAGTTGACGCCAGAGAATTAAGCAATTAGGAGTGAAAGTATGTGTTTGATTCTTTTCGATATTGTCTTTGGAAGGGTTCAAAGCCTTAATTCGAATCGAACTAGTCGCAAAATGATAAATCGATTAAAATATTTTCAAAAAAAAAATTGATATATTGACTGATATATTTGTCTCGATGAAAAATAAAAGACTTTGAAATATATCTTTCTTTAAATTTTAATTTAATTTTTTATCATTTATCTTTCTCATGATTTTTTTTCCAATTCCGTCTAAATCAATTTATTAAAAAATATATATCAAAAACACCATTCGATCATGATATATAATTCAATTTTTGTTTTAAGGGTAAATGATTCCTGTTTCAGTGGCGAAAAAAACTCTCTCTGCCACTAAAATAAAATAATAGAGAGAAAGCAAAATGAAAGGGAGAGATAAAACAATGAAAGAGAAAAGGGGTGATATATCTCAATGGCAGAGAATTTTATTTCACTAAAGCAGAAATCATTTCTTTTTTATTTAATCTTCAACGATTTTAGTATAGTTTCATATAAGTTTATAGAGAAGGGTTATATTTACAAAATTTTTGTTTACAAACTACATTATATTCTCTCGGGAGAACACTAAGTTATACTATGTTCTCCCAGAGTACATAGTGTAATTTGTAAAAAATTGTAAAAAAAATTTGTAAACGAATCATTCCCCAAGTTTATAATTTAGTATTTAAAAATAAGGTACAGTTAAAGGAATAGAAATAATCTTATGTTTTATCTATTATTTACAAGAGATTTTAGTTAATTTATGGCAAAATGACATTATTCATGCAAATTTAAAAATAAATTACCCAAAATCCAAATAATATAAATTAAGTGATCTTGTCATGTGGCATAATTTGATAGAAGAAATAATTGTTTTTTAAATTTAAAAATATGAAATCTATTATAATCAATCACAATTGGATAAATATTTTTTTCTGTGAAATAAGTTACTTTCAGGAAAAAAATAAATATCAAATCGTATGGTTGACAATAAATTTATTATTATCAATCATGATTGAATAATTGATTTTTTTTATTTTCAGCAAAATAATAAGAAGTTTCCACTAACCAATCTTTAAATTATTTCATAAAAAATAAAAAATCAATTTTATAATAATTTTTTTATTTTTTAGAAAAATAATTCGAAGTATCATTTAATCAAAATTTATTATGTTAATTATTGTTCAACTAAATAAATATTTATGACAGTAATTATTTTATATGAAGCGAAGGGAAAAAAATATGTGTGACAATAAAATTTGAGATAGACTATCAAGATGTGTCACGTAACATGATCTCGTAAGTTTGTGTATTGAGGTGTGCACAACTAATTGTGCATGAAATATGTGTGTAACTTAACTATTTATATCACAATGACAATTAGGCATCTCCCTATATACGATTAGTTGTGTATTCTTCTCGTAGTACCTGTTTGTCTTAATTTAAAAAATAATTTCAAATATATATTATTTAAGTAATTTGTGTTTGTTTACTATGTATTAAAAAAATATTTTGTGTTTAAATTTATATTAATTATGTCATTTTACCCAAATTTTATTGTTTCATATTTGGAAGCTTATTAAAGTGAATAATAATAATCATTGAAAAATATAAGCAAGATTTCCTTCAAGATAAGGCAATATCCAAATATTTGGTGATAAAAGTGTGTGGTTAAATATGGGATAAAACTGTTAACTGTTGTAATTATATTTGCCCAAACCTTAAGAATACTCTAAATTGGAAAGTGGTGGGCAAGTTATAATAACAACAGGGGCGGTGGTTATAATAACAATAATGTCGGCTTTGGCTTTTGTGATGAATTGTAGTGGGAATTATCTTGCGTTAGTGGTTATGGCAATTGTTAGTTAACTAAAAGGATGTTTGATTTTTTTTTTTCTGCACATAATAATAACATGGCGAAGGTTGTTGAGCTCAACAACCTTTAATTAGGCATAAATAAATAAGATACTAATCCTTTTTGCAAATCAAAAAGTCCCCTGCTAGGCTTCTCTAGTCTCTCAAACGGGGTTTGGATTCTAGGACATTCAATGAGGGAAGAAAAAACTTAGTTGAGGAGTGATTTACCCTGGCCATCAATATCAGTAACTTAGCCTTTCTTCACTACTTAGAATAATCGAGTTCGATTTTAGGTAAAAAATCATAAACTTGAGTTGTTATGTAAATATTAAAATATATATCCAAAAAAAATTATCGAACTAATTAAAGCATAATTATATGAGAGGCCAGCGAAATTTTTAATGTTTTTTTTTAAATTTAGATAAAATAAAAATGTATAAATTAAAATAAAAAATATGTACGAGAAAAAAATTATAATAATATATATTTATAAAAAAAATAAAAATTACAATAACTCTGTATATTAAATATACCCTAATATAAATACAAAAGTTGACGTGGTTAATACTGATAGTTGTTGCAAGAATAGAATGAACGCACATGTGGTTAGACCCGCATAACCCTTTGTGATCAGAACATCCAGCCTCGCGGCAAGGAGGAGATTTAATAGCATGGAGGTTTCCAGACCCTGGTTGGCACAAGATTAACGTAGATGGATCCTGTCACAACGGTGGTGGTCGAACTGGTTGCGGCGGCGTGATTAGGGACGCGTAGGCATTAGACGAGGGGCTTATGTAAGAACCTTGGGTCTGGGACTTCCATGAGAGCGGAACTCTGGGGATTCCTTACTGGGATGGAGGTGGCCTGGGAAGAGGGAATTCGACAGGCTTGGTTTGAGGGGGACTCTCAGGTAGCCATTCAGCTTATCATGAAAGGCTGTGGTGTTCAACATCCCCTGGCTCCTCTGATCAACCAGATTAGGGACAATGATGGGAAGACAATGGAATATCCAAGTTAGGGACATGGTGGCTGACAAACTTGCAAACTTGGGCTGCTCCTACCCTGATTGGGATGTGCATATCCTTGATCATCCTCCGCAGGATTGTTCTACCTTTTTGTGTAGTGATTTGATGGGTGTTACTATACCCAGAGTCTGTACTTCAGCTTAATTTAATTCCATTTTGTTCAAAAAAAAAAGAGCACGTGGACAAATGCGCTGAACTATTTTCTGTTATTTGTTAGAGTTTGTTTTGGCTGTTAATGTATCAGTTACTATACTTTGGTTCTTTTGCTTCGTTTCGTGTATAAGCTTTATATTAGTTCTTCACTTCGATATATATGGTAAGAACATTTTTGTACATTTAGATTTGCATAATAAAGAATTCCAAGATGGTATCAGGACTTTGAAAGCTTTGGGCCATCTACCACCTTCCGCAAACATTTCTTCTTCCTCAATTCTTTTTCTTAGCCATAGCAGAGCAGAACCAACTCTCATATCCTTACTATCTCCACCCTAATGAATCAAATTCACTATTTCTTATTTCTCCATTGATGAATGGAAATAATTAGTATGCATGGTCACGGTGTTGGGTTTTGCTCTTTCACTAAAGGTCAATAAGGCATAGTGTGTAAGAAAAGCACAAGAAACCTAAAGCTCATTCAGCTTAGGGCTAGGGTTTCTTGGAGCCCATATATATTCTATATTTATAGTCATCAACCTCTCTAGTCTTCACTTGGTAGTTGCAGAGGCTGAGATAAGGTCATCTCCTTAAAAGTGAGAGAGTGCCCACACACTTCCTATTTTCCCTTGAAGCATAGTCGGAAGATCTGTCACTGTCCAAAACTTTAAGGAAGTTGTTTGTGTTGCGGCGCTGGGGTGAGCAAATCGTAAAGAGGAACCATACATGGGAAGATTCTGCACGAGATCTGCGCACCAAGAGGTAAATCAGTAAAACGGTGATGATCCGTTTGCATCCCAAACCGCAATGGTCTAAAAAGCTTTTGCTGATCCAATAATTCCTACACACAAGCTATGAAGGTAGCCTTGATCTTGAATAACAAATTGGTGTTTGTTAATGGCACCATCATTGCTCTTCTAGAAGATGATGCAAGATATATGTCTTGGGAAAGAAGCAACACGATGGTGCTCTCTTGGTTCCACCGCTCTATTGCTGACTCCATCGTTCAATCCATCTTTGGATCGAGAAGGCTTATGAAATGTGGAGTGATTTACAAGATCGATTCTCTCAATCTGATACATTTTGTATTTCAGATTTGCAAGAGGATCTATATCAAACAAATCAAGGAGACAAATCAGTGTTTGATGACTTTACAAGTTTGAAGGCACTTTGGGAGGAACTGAACAATCTCACGCCACTTCCACCTTGCACCTGTTCCTAAATAATGTTGATATCTCCTCTCCCGAACATAAGAAGGACCTTTTCTTTGGTTCTGCAGCAAGAACGACAACTTCAAGTAGATCTACATGGTGGAAATATGAACGAGACGAAAGTTTTTGCAATTTCCTCAAAAAATTCACGTGGTCGTGGTTTTTCATAGAGAGGAAAAGAAAAA